CTCCCCCCCCACTCCTCCCTTCTCCTCTTTCTAAAAATCAATGGAAAACATATCCTCGAGTGAGCGTTAAAAAAAAGAGAGCGAGAGACGTGCCTGAGTGGAGTTTACAACCTATCGAGTAACTTGCTGGCATATGTTTTTCCTTTCCAAAGGCTGTGCCTGTTGTCTTAGCCTTACGCTCGCCGGTGTGTCGTGGAGAAATAGTGATTTTGCTGACAGTGCTGATCGTTAGCACCTAGAGCGCTCAGTATCCGCCAGGCACGGCCCTAAGTGCTTTATATACAGGGTGTCCCCCCCAAAAAACGTATGCACCCTTCTTTCAGGTAGCGCAGTTGATGTTTCTTTTCCTCCTCTTCAGATTTAACCCATTGGAATTAATAATTATTGGGTGTGTATACCTTTTGGGGGGGGGGATACTTGTTTATATAATAACCCATTGAATTGAGTCCCCGCAGCCCTGTGAGGCAGGTGCTGTTATTACACATACACACGTTTTAGGAGGAGGACGTGGAGGCACCGGTTTGCCCCACATCACTCTGTCCTAGCGGGTGGTAGAAAAGGCCATGAATACCGACCGTTCCTCAAAAAAAAACAAAAACAGAAAAGTGATTTGAAGGAAAGAGGTAACGTGGGATCTAGAGAAATACAGGGGTTGGCAAAAGTAGGTTTATAGTTGTGAGTACATGAAGCACAGTTTATTCTTGTCTTGTTATTTATTTATTAATAAAGCTATTGTAGTTATCGTAACCTGCATGTCTTTTCCCACACAAACAGCTGGAAACCTACTTTTGTCCACCCCTGGAAGGGCCTTTTAAGGAGGCAAAGCCTGGGGCATGTTTAAAGGCTTACAGACGAGAGCTGCAGAGACTTAATGGTTAGAGACAGGATCTGAGAAGGGTACTTGAGGGAGTGGGGACCTGAAGAGGAAGGAGAATGTAGGTATAAAAATCAACTTTAGATAGGGGAGGGCGTCTGGTCCACCCCCAGCGGAGACAAGGAGTCGGGAAGGGGTGCAGATGCAAGGAATTTTTTGGTTAGGGAGCTCAGAAAGGTTGAGGAGGTTCTAGTCTGAGGGCTTATGTGCTTTTTTGTTTGTTTTTTTCCTCAGAAGTAGAAAGCAAGGTAGTAGAAATCCAAGACTCAAGTTAAAGTCAAGTAACCTACACGAATGTTACCCACCCATGGGCTATGTTCAAAACTTTGCTTAGAAAACAATTCTTGGTCCATTCTAATACATGGAGCAGTGGGTTTCGTAGAACTTAAGTACTGTACTGCTATAGAGTATGTCAGTAATTATTTTAATTAAGGAAATTTCCTTGCAGCACTCATTGTCTATAATCACACTCAATACTCAGCATATACAGGGTGTCCTTAAAAAAAAGTATGCACACTTTGAATGATTATAAAGGCAGAATTTATTCACATACAGTTCATTTTCAAAGTTTAAAAGAATCTACAGAAATGAATAATTTTTTGGTCAATGCCTGTTTTCAAACTGATGACTGTTCTAGTCCAGGCACCACTGATAACACAAAGCAGTGAAATCATGAACATCAAGAATCGTTTCGTTCGGTATCTGTGCGCCTTCAATCCATCGACTGTTGCCAGTTTTGTACCAGAAACTTTATCTTTTATGTATTCCCATGAAAAAAAAAAGTAGTGGCATTTTAGGATTAGTTTTCCTTGTTCAAAGAGTAGTCTAGCTTCACCCATTATTTCAAATCAGTTAAACCTGAAAAGTAAAGAAAGTTAAGTGAGTTATCAGGTGTTAAAGTGTGTATACATTTTGGGGGGACGCCCTATACAGTGGTGCCTCGGTTTTCTAATGTAATCCTTTAGGGAATACCGTTAGAGTTCTGAAACATTCGAAAACCAAGGGATCAACAGCCAACAGCTGGGCCTCAGGATCTTGCACTCAGCGGAAGCCATGTGGCATGTTAGACTTCCGAGGCGTGTTCAAAAACCAAAGCATTTACTCCTGGGTTTACGGCGTTCTCTGAATCGAAATGTTTGTTAATGGAGACGTTCAAAGACCTAGGTACCACTGTATTAGTACTGTTTAGTCATTGCACAGAGCTTTTCTTCCTGAGTTATAGTCTTTTTTCATTCCAAGGTGAATTTCCTGAACTCACCTTGGATTTTGATGTAAGATACAGCTAGAATTTTCAACTGGCTCTGTCACTTACCACCATGATACATGTTACTACCACCCTGGACCTTAGTTAACAAAGGGCTGTAATGACTAAATGAAATAATGTATTAAAAACAGCACAGCACCTAGCACAAAATGTGAATGCCCTTCCTACCTCCCTATCAGATTATCACTTAACATAGTGCCAAAGATACTGTAAATACTCAGTGTATATCTCCTGTTCACCATGATGGCAGTGGTTAAGGCCAGGTTAAGAGATGAGCCCGTCAGGTAGTTATCCAGGGTGGCTAACCATAAGGATGCTAAAACTTCTCTACATACTAAAATATCCTAAGAATATGAGATGGAGGAGAAAAAACTATTTTTATTGCAACTCTTTTCAACCAAAATATTGTATGTGGTTAGGAAGGAAAGGCCCTTGGGAAGAGGGCAAAAGAGCAGAAAGGACATGACCAACAGCAGGTTACCATGTATAGGTCAGTGGGTTGTGATGGAAGGTGAGGTGGACAGGCTGGCACAGTCCCACTGTCAACACTCACCCACTCTTCCTTCCCCCCACCCACTCCCACACACAAGCAAGATTCTGAGTCTATAAAAAATAGAAATACGTAAAATGTGTCTAATTATATTATTTGCTGACCCAGGCAAGTCCACAAATGTTAATCCAGTTCTGATGGTATTGATAACAGTGATGGCTTGAGCTAAAATCCTTTTTGAATTGGGGTCCTGGATTTCTTATCTTAGAAAAGAAGTGTGAAGTGTGTTTTTTTTTTTTTAATTCTTCAAGGTGCCAGAGTTGTTTGTGTAGTGAACAAAGCAAAGTCACGCCTACTGCCCATTATAAAAGATTTGGGTTCCCTAAACTGAAGTTTCCTCTCGGGTAATGCGACCCACTCCACCTGCCAGTGTTCCCTTACCCTCCTCCTCCATCGCACCCACTTCTATTCAACGTAAATCTTTCCTCCCATACAAAGAAATCAGTGTTTTAGAAAGAAGGCTTTACGGTTGCATAGCTGCTCTGTGCTGAAGGAGTGTCTTGGTCCTCGCCCTGCTCCTAGTGAAGATTACATGTGGTGGAGCTGGTCTGGTCCTTTGGGTGCACCTGTTTGTGTGGCTGTCTTGCACAACATGGTTTTGAAATTACTTTAGTTTTAATGCTCCAGAGACATCACTTTTATTTATTATTTTAGTTAATCCTCACCTGAGGACATCTTTCCATTGATTTTTACAGAGAGTGGAAGGGAGGAAGGGGGTGCGGGAGAGAGAGAAATATCAGTGAGAGAGAGACACACACATCAATTGGTTTCGTGTCACACATCCCCCAGCTGTGTCCCGGAATCAAACTTGAGACCCTTTAGTGCAAGGGCCAACGCTCTAACCACTGGGCAACACCAGCCAGGGCCCTCACTTCTCTTTTAAAAGAATGTATGAGGCATTCTCATAAATTGCTGATGGAAATGCAGAGGTGTTCAGTCGTTTTGGAGGGGGATTTGGCAATCTCTAACAAAACTATACATTTATTAGCTTTTTGATACATCCTTCGTTTAGGAATTAATCCTAAAGTCATACCTCCACTTCCACTCTTAGGTATATACTCATGAGATCCATTTAAGTGGATTTTAAATATGGAGATTTAAAATCCATAATCAGTTCTGCTCTGCCTATATGATCCTGGGTGTGCCTAACTTCCATGAGAGAGTTTCCTCTGTTTCTTTCTCTGTGAAGTGGGGCATTTGGAGTAAATAATGGCTTCCGCTTATTGAAAGTCAACTACGTTACAGACAGTGTGCTTATTGTTCTATGTACATGATTTCTAACCCTTTCCTGCAGGGTAGTTATTCTACCCCCCTCTGATAGGTGAGTACTTTGAGACCCAGAGAGGTTTAGCTCTCACACAGTCCTCCAGCTAGTAAGAACCCAGGTCTGCCTGACCGCAAAGCCTGCGGTCTTCCTAATGCATTAAGGTGCTTCCAGAAGATGCAAATATCTAAGGCCTTATACAGCTCGAGATTCTGTGATTCTTTACTCTTTTTAAAAAATTAAATTTATTGGGGTAACGTGCGTTAATAACATTATATAAGTTTTAGTTGTACAATTTCATAATCCATCATCTGTATGTTCTGCTGTGTCGTCAGCCCCCAAAGCCTAGTCTCCTTCCCTCACTGTATATTTGACACCCTTGTGGTTTTTTTTACTTTTAAGCAAGAAGAGGCCCTCTTTCCGTGCCCAGCGCAGCCATGGCTCGTGGTCCCAAGAAGCACCTAAAGCGCGTAGCAGCTCCGAAGCATTGGATGCTGGACAAGCTGACGGGCGTGTTCGCTCCTCGCCCGTCCACCGGCCCCCACAAGCTGAGGGAATGTCTCCCTCTCATCATTTTCCTGAGAAACAGACTGAAGTATGCCCTAACCGGAGACGAAGTGAAGAAGATCTGCATGCAGCGGTTCATTAAGATCGACGGCAAGGTCCGAACGGATGTCACCTACCCTGCTGGTTTCATGGATGTCATCAGCATTGAAAAGACCGGAGAGAATTTCCGTCTGGTCTACGACACCAAGGGTCGCTTTGCTGTGCATCGTATCACACCTGAGGAGGCCAAGTACAAGCTGTGCAAAGTGAGGAAGATCTTCGTGGGCACAAAGGGCATCCCTCACCTGGTGACCCACGATGCACGCACCATCCGCTACCCTGATCCCCTCATCAAGGTGAACGACACCATTCAGATTGATTTGGAATCTGGCAAAATTACCGATTTCATCAAGTTTGACACCGGTAACCTGTGTATGGTGACCGGAGGCGCTAACCTGGGGAGAATTGGCGTGATCACCAACAGAGAGAAGCACCCTGGTTCTTTTGATGTAGTTCACGTGAAAGATGCCAATGGCCACAGCTTCGCTACCCGTCTCTCCAACATTTTCGTTATCGGCAAAGGCAACAAACCATGGATTTCCCTTCCCCGTGGAAAGGGCATCTGCCTCACCATTGCTGAAGAGAGAGACAAGAGACTGGCAGCCAAACAGTTGGTGAAATGAGCCAAACGCGACATGATAAGAAGAGTCTTTGTACTTAATTAAAGATAATGCTGCATGAGGGAAAAAATAAGATGGGGGGAATTGACATGCCCACTAATGCTAATAATTCATAACCTAACTTTCATTCCCTTTTCCTCTGGGACTTAACAGCTATATGAGTACGACACTCCCTTTCTCTAAAGTCAGTCTCGCTTCAGCCTCTCCCTTTTTATACACTCGGTGAGTTCACTGTACTTCTCAGTTTGTAACCAGCTACCTGCTCCTGAAAAGCTCTTATTTCATTTATTCACTTATTTCCTTTTAGTTGCATTTCTTACTTCCTGTCTCATAGCTGCATAGGCAATTAGTCTGATGTGCTTTCTACATGTATTTGAGTTTGTAGGTTTCTAGCAAAATAAGTAGTTTTGTTTCAAATGTTTATGTAATTGCAATTGAAATGCAAGTATAGATTTTAGTTAAAGATAATGTATTAATATTGGCTTATTAAATGTAACAAATACACCATACCAATGTAAGATGTAACTGGTGGAACGTGCCGCATATATGGCAGCTCTGTACTATCTCAGTTTTTCTGTAAGTGTGAAATTACTTTAAAAAAATAAAGCCTATTTAAAAAATGTATGTGTACAAGGATGAGAAATTCATGGATAAAAAATGCCATTTAAACTGGTAATTTAGTGTATTTTATCACCTTTTATATTAAAACTAAAATGGGTAAAGTGTGACAAATATCACAGTATGTTTACTAGTTGTATTTTTAGAAGTCCCAATAACTCTTATGTTAAAAGACTAAAATATTCCATATAAGTTATAAATTCATAATTTATAAATTTATTTTTAACTACTGGGGCAAAGGAATATTCTTTGCCTTGTTTAGATAAAGTATAACTGAATTAGGAAGCTCATTTCCCCCCATTTTAGACTCAAAATTATTTTATTCCTGCTAGTCTCCCCAAACCTCCTGTCAAGCTGAAATATCTAACTTCTGTGTTGATCTTAGCATTTGTAAGGGATAAATAATTGATGAGCACAGGAATTCTGGGAATAGCTGAATAGCTTATTCTCTGTGCTAAACTGTTTCTAAATGTCCTTAGGCATCAACCCAAAATATACATCAAAAGGGTGTCAGTTGGCATTGGGAAGCGAGGCAACATTATGGATTAGAATTCTGGAACAAGAAATGCAACAAGAGGAAGTTGTCAGTTCCACTGCTGGTTAAACTGTGCCTTGCGTTTTTGTTTTGTTTTTTTAATTCCTTAAATTAAAGGTAAGACTGTAACCTCTCTGAGGGTAGAACCTTCCTTTCAAATTTCAACAGAATGAGAGCAGAGACTTCCACATGAACCGAAGGAAGAAAAGTTCTTTAAAAATATTATATTGTGATAACATAAGATCTACTTTCTTAACAAATCTTTAAGTGCATAGTGCAGCATATTGGGAGGACACTCGAACCCACTGTGCCACCAGTCGGGTGAAGGTGCTATTAAGCACTCTCTAAATAACAGAAGCGAATCAGATGGCCAAACAAGAAAGAAAAAGATCTGGCTCATTCACAAGCTGAATAGTTAACCGGAACAATGGAGATAAAGGGACGTTTCCCAAATGAGGTTGAGTTAGATACTCTCCTTTATAAAAGGCAATCGCGTTTTCAGCATTTACGTATTATTTTGTTCCCCGGAGCACATTTCCCTTTATGCAAAGCATAAAGTAAGCAGGTATTTCACCAGGTAGCACAGAACTTGTTTTCCACTTCCGCAGTGGCCCGGGCTCCCACATACCATTTGGGGGGGGGGGTAGGCAGCACCAGGTCCAAGGTAGCAAGCAAGGCAGGCGACCTCATGGAAGAGATAAGATGATCACCAAGTCAGGGATCGATGCTAAGAACATGGCAGAGCCATAGGTGAAAGTGGACACAAGCCAAGGGGCAAGGTGGCGCTGGCAGCAGCCGGCCGAGCGCCCCGGGTTAGGTCAGCTGGCCCGGGCAGCTGGGAGGATCCAGTGTTGCGCCGGAACTGGGGCAGCCTGCTTTCCTTTCCGCCTCGCCGCGAGCAAGCCGGCTTCTCGAGCCCTTCCCAGAGGTGCGCCAGGGAGAACTTCGCTCTGGTTTCTAGGGGCAGATAAGGGAAGCGGAATTTTATACGCCCCCTGACAGAGGCAATTACCGCCTCCAGAAACAAACCCGGGGCCGTGTGTCCCCAGAGCTGATCCTGTTTCTCTCCCCGGGTTGGCAACTACCCCAGGACAGGATAATGGTTGTGGCTCTTATCTGCCTCCGTGCTGGCTGGAAGCTGAAAGTGGAATTAAATATACACACAGAAAAGCATGAGGGGGGGAAATCAAGGCAGGGTTGCAGGCTTCTCTCCGCCTCTGATCACCGCCCCTGGCCCGCCTTGCGCATCAGAGAGGCTAATGCCCCTTCCCTCCGGGAACCTGGAAGGAGATGGGGTGGGTGAAGGCACCGCAAACCCCCCCCCTTTTCCCCGGCTCCCCTGGCTCATCTACCTTCGCCTACGGTATTCATAGCATCTCTAAGTTAAACGGGAACTTAGAGGTACNATCTCTAAGTTAAACGGGAACTTAGCGGTACTGTGTCCGGGTCAGGTTCTTCCCCAGGGCAGGAATTTCTTTCAAGCATTCTTACCACGGCCCGACAGGAGCACCATCAACGTCAGGAGCATTGCTGGGGCACTCCTTTCGTTTCCCTTCTATTACATATTAAAACACAGGCAGAACAGAAGCATATACTGAGCAGGGTAACTTTTTAAACATTTTGTAGAGTATGTCTCTTAAAGTGGAAAAAATGTTTAAATACATTTTATTGTGTAGCACGTTTACAGACACAATCAAATTTACTTACTGAAATGAAAAATAAATGGGTTAAACCGAAAGACAATTAAAATCCCCGGCTCTGTAAAATCTCTATTAACTGGAAATCAGTTAACAATAATAATTAATTGGGCTTCCTTTCCCAGAGTTTTGAAAATGCAGCCACTACAGGATCTAAATTTATGAAAGAATCTGTGCTTCAACATAAAAATCAAAACACAGGATTGTAGGAGTTATTTTAGGCTGAAAAGACTTTCCCAAATTTTAAAAATATATGTGCAAGAATGTGAAACGCTGGATCTGAGTCAGAAGACTTCAGTTTGTGTCCCAGATTTGCCTCTTTTTTTAAAAATTTTAATTTTATTTATTGATCTGAGAGAGAGAGAAAGGGGGGAGTGAGAGAGAGAGAAACATGGATTTTTTGTTCCACTCATTGATGCATTATTGGTTGCCTCTTGTATGTGCCCTGACCTGGGATCAAACCCACAACCTTGGCGTATCAGGTCAACACTCTAACCAACTGAGGGTCATGCCCTTGTTAACGCTGCATTACCGGTGATCAGCAGGCTCAGAGGGGTTACTGAGCCTGCCCAGGGTCTCACAGCTGCAAGTGGGGGTGTTGGAATCCACATACAAACAGCTGAGTCCCCCCACCCCCAAGTCAGCTGAATTTGGGAGGTAATTTTTTTTAAGTACATTCTTGAGTTTCCTTAATTCTATTCTCTAGATCTTCCTGCAAGATTCCCAAAAATCTGACCTGCTCTTAGTTTGCACACGTCAAAGCCCCTGTTTTTTCACCTGGCATCCCATGCCTTTGACACGATGCTCCAATTCATCTTTCTGGACGTGTCTCACGAGACTCCCCCACCCACTGCCCCTCGACCGAGCTGTGTTTTTTCTCCTTCAGCTCAAGTCCTCTGACAAGAGGGCCTGTCTCAGATGCCACCCTTTTGAGGAGCCAGGTTAATACAGTCTGAAGGGATCTCTCCCCACCTCACGTGGAAATCCTATGGCTCGACTGCACAATTCATATCATTCCCTTACGTACACCATCAAGGAGAGTTATTTGCGTACTCGAATTATGTCCTTGGATGTGCTGCAGAGAGACAGAAATCAAGGCACAGCTGTTTCTAGGGCCGTTTTCTCCCAGAAGTGGAGGTAGGGTTTGAGGCCCCAGTAGGGCTGGAATTGCTGCAAGTCCTGCTCCCTAGCTCAAGGCTCTGGTGAGCGGCCTTGAGAACTGGACTTTTCATTCCCAGGTTCTTCTGCATCTACTTTGTTTTGCCAACAAAGTAAAGCTGTTAAGCCTCAGGCCATATGAATCAAGTAGAAACCCCCCTCTAGTCAAAGCCGGTGCCTCTGTGAGCAAGTTTACCTGAAAAAAAAAATAAAAAATCTGAGCTCCTGCAGTCCCTGGACAGTTATTTACTGGGATCTCTTTCAGGCTGTTTGGAAACCAGAACTTGACCCTGTGGTTTTAGCTTCAGCAGATTATGAAATCGAGTTAATAATGGCACCCTGAAATGCAAACTACCTCCGCATGTTTGTTTTGCAGTGACCCACATAAAGCTGACACATGTAAATCGCCGTGAAGTGCACAATTAAGAGTGTTTCTTCACCTCTTTACCATAAGGGTTCAAAGTCCTTTAACCAGCGGCACTGAGAGAAAAAAAAATCCATTCCTTGAAATGCAGTCTTACAGTCGGGCAACACTGCTTCCTAGCGTCCAGTGCGGGCACTGCCCGACGTGCGTGGGCTTGAAGCCCGGAGGTTGCAGAGGGAGGTCTGGGAGTAGGCGGGAGGGTGTGTTTACTGGCCGGCGCACAGCTTGTGGAGGTAAAACCTTAATCACAAAATGGTCCCAAGTAAGTGTGGATAGAAAGGGGCCACGTGCTCACCTGACGAGCTCAGGGGAGGCCTGCGGGGCGGCCTTGCAAACTCAGAGACCTAAAGGAACCACAGACGATGGTCTGAAATGAAAACTTTTTAACTAAAAGTAGTTTGTGGTTTGTAGTCACATCCTAGGCCGGTATCTCCCCTGACAAAGGCCCATCTTTACCTGAACCCAGCCTGCCTATTGTTATTTTTGCATCTACAATAACATATCATTGGAATGTCAAAGTAATTTTCCTTTACCCGGATCCCCCAGGGCACAGGCCCTGTCCTGTGGAGACCACAAATCCCCTCATTGTTGCCGAGTTAATTGCTGTTAACTCTCCTGCACCCACCTAGTAAAAAAAGTGTGTGTCCTTCATCTTTTCATCCAGTCCCAGAGGTCTCCCCGCTTTGCTTCCTCCCGCCTCCCAGTGGATTTCAGGTAACCCACTCATGTCTTCTCTGGAACGTATAAAACAAGGTGCAGAACTGCCATTCTCCGGAGCGTTATCTCAGTCTGTTGAGATTCTGCTTCCCGGAAGATGCCGACTGTTTTGGCTCAAATAAACCCACAAAAATTCTTAAGGTTTGAATGTTTCTTATGTTGACACCAGACGCTCTTTATCAATGGGTTTTATCCATTGTCAGGGAGGAAGAACTATTCTCGGTCCTTGGAGTTCTTCTGGCTGGATTGGTCACCAAGTTAACAAACACAGATTAGCAGGAGAATATGAAATAAACATTTAATAACATGGACACCTCCTGTACACAAGGGAGGGGACCTAGGAACACTGAGTAATTCTTCAAAACGGTGGAAGCCACCACCTTAAATACCACCCCCAGGTAAGGGTGTGGAGTGTCCTTTAGAGGAGGTGACCTTGGAAAGCACTGGAAACAGGGGTAAGGTTGGTTGTTATG